CCCCCCCCCCCCCCCCCCCCAGTCCTTTTCCGACACTGTAGGTTTCAGATCAGTATGTTCGTATTTGACGTTACCCAGTTTAAAGACCTGACAAGGCTGCTTCATCTCAATGTATTCATAATAGTGTGGGAGGTAGGTCAGCATGGTGGATAAAACAGGCCCCAGTAGCGTTTCTTCCGCCACTAGTAGAAAATTGTGATGATGAAAGCGATGATGGGCTCATAAAGGTATAGGAGCTTGAAGAAACCTTTGAGTCAAGAATACAGCATTCCTCAAAACGTATTCCTTAAACTCAGAAACACCAGTGAGCATTGGGGGCGGGGAGGCACAGAAGGGTTGTTTCATGGCCAGACAAATGTAAGAAACTGGTTTAAGCAGGTTTCAGGTGCTGGTATGTACACTGTGAATTTCCCAAGGCAGTAAGTGTTCAATATACTGTGTTCACATACTTACTAACAAATTAATTTAATACAGATTGCTTTGCTTTTGTCATTAATTATGTGATGGAAATAACGTTGGTTATTTCATACTCAGAGCCATGGAGATTAATGTCTGTTCTTAGAACCACTTCTAAAAGATCATAGTAAATGAGTGAAAAAAGTTTTCAGCATTGGGAAGGTTGAAAGCCCTTACAGGAGTCAGAGTCTCCCAGTGCTCAATTACACACTGTTGGTACAGTTTTTTAATTTATTTGACAGAAATCTGCTGGGAGCCTATTTTGGGCTAGTCTCTGTGCTGGCTGGTATTTTTATGGCTTTTCTTTTCAGTTTGTTAAAATGACTCGTGTGGTGACTTACTAGGTAGTTGCTTAAGTGCACAGGAGTCCTGGCAGGCGGAGAGTTAATGCTGCATATAGCCTTCAGGGCGCCTGTGGGTGGAGAAAGTTCTAACTCCACTGATGTCAGCCAACCTTTGCAGGGAGGGGTGTTTGTTTTGTGTAAGTGAATGAAGGCCTAAGGTTAAAATGCTGCTGATTTCACACCTAGACCAGGCAGAACTGAGGGGCAGGTCCCAGATCTCACTCTTATGGGTTCCTTGGTAACCATGCATCCTAAGTGAAATAGAAGATCGCTAAACAGGTAAATGGAAAACCAGAAGGCAGACATTTGAAGATGCGGAGTTTAAGTTTCTTATGCAGTGTTCCCGCCTGTTGGCTATGTACTTAGTAATAACTACAATTTTGCATTTCTGTTCAGAATCTAGGACAGTTTGGGAGTTTAGGGGTTAATAATAATGGTGTGCCCTCTGTTCTACTTATTGCCCTGCTGTCTGACGCAGCCTTAGTTTTGTTTTTTTTAAATATATTTTATTGATTTTTACAGAGAGGAAGGGATAGGGATAGAGAGTTAGAGACATCGATGAGAGAGAAACATCAATCAGCTGCCTCCTGCACACCCCCTAAAGAGGATGTGCCCGCAACCAAGGTACATGCCCTTGACCGGAATCGAACCTGGGACCCTTGAGTCCGCAGGCTGACGCTCTATCCACTGAGCCAAACCGGCTAGGGCAGTTTTTTTGTTTTCTTTGTTTTGAGAGGACCTTTATGAAAGCTGGGGTCAGGGAAACGAGGGAGTGCCTAGGATAGAAGCAGCAGCAGGGGATCCTCGGTCTGGCTTAGCCTTCGGCTTGATGACCCTTCAGTGTCTGGTCCGGGCGTTGTGGAAGGAGGAGGATGGACCTGCGCTACTCAGTTTACCAAGCACCAGCCTGGAGAGGGCCTCAACATCTTTGTCATCCCCTCCTTTCCCAGACGAGGAAACGAAATCCTGAGATCTCAGCCCAAGTTAGATACACGCACGGCCAAGGCCCCCTACGCCAGCTCGGATGCTGCTTCCTGCTCACTCACCCATCCCAGGGACGCGCAGGAAAATACCACACACGTTAGCTAGGCTTTTAGTATAAAAATGTCTGAATGCAAAGTAAACAGCAAACCGATGATGACATTTAATTTCCCATTTTGTATTCTTCCTGTGACATCATCTATGAATGATGGCCAATAGGAACTGAATTTGATAAGAACAAGAATTAAACATGTTTTATGTATGTTTGAACATTAGAAAAACATTCTTAATTTGGGGTTTGTTCCATTGAATCCTGGATAAAACATTTTTCCTGGGAAATTGACTCCCTATCATCATTCTAATTTGAGGGTTTCAAGTTTCATTTTCTTTCTACCAAACCCTTAGGAGGAGAAGGCACCACACACTGGCTTTCAGATGCTGTCTCTGCTTCATCTGTGTCCTTGTAAACATTTTAGACATTTTCTCTCTCTTTCGGGTACAAGCCTTTGGTTCTCACTGTTTCTCTGCCATTTTTGTGTTCTAGGTTCCCGGTCTTTCCACAACACCAGCGCTAATCTGACGGAGAGGTACTGTCCATTTATTTGTTACTCCTTTTCCCAAGGGGAAATGCAGACAATCCAAAATGTGTTGTGGCATTTATTTAAGTTAATTGAGTTCATTGGGTTCTTACTTTTTTGAGAGAGAAATTTGGAACGGTGCTTAGAAGTGGTTTGTAATGAAGACTGTATCCTTTTTACATAATGTCTTCAGTACTTTTCCCACTTTTATTCTTTACACTGTCCTAATGACAAAGGGCTTGCATTTATTCACATGAGAAACACTTCCGTTTGACTTGATGAGCTTGTGTGCTCTTCGCTTATGGGGATTTTTACTTCATAAATCTAACACCCTTTCGGGGTGTGTGTGTATGTGTGTACAGTAGTCTGTCCCCTTTGTCCTCAAGGGCTACATTCCAAAATTCCCCAGTGGCTGCCTGAAACAGCGATAGTACCAAACACTATGTATACTGTATTTTTTTCTATATATACATACGAATGATAAAGTTCAGTTTATAAATTAGGCACAGTAAGAGATGAGAGCAATAACTAATAAAAATAGTATATTATAACAATATATTGTAATAAAAGTTGTATGAATGTGGTCTTTCTCTAAGTCTCTTTCTGTCCTGGACTCCCCCTTCTTGTGATAATGTGAGATGATACAGTGCCTTTGGCCACAGAACATGGGCTGTTCTCTGACCTTATTGTATCAAATGTTCAGCAGCCCCCGTCCGCCTCTTACTCTGCCTCCCATTTCCATGTGAGTACATAAGGCAGCTGACCCGTAGCTACACGAACACCTGACCAGAATGCTCGTGGAGAAGGATGGAGAAGCTGTTTTAATTTAAAAAAAAATAACTTCTGTAGTCTTTTTTTATTTTTTTTCAAAATAGTCTTTTTGTTTTTATCTAGTATAACAGAGGAGAACTACAGCTTCCTGCCGCAGAGCCCCTCCAAGAAAGACTTGGAAGGGAAGAGTGGGACAAAAGTCAGCCGCACTTTCAGCTACATCAAGAATAAAATGTCCAGCAGTAAAAAGAGCAAAGTAAGTGCCATTGGTCCAGCCAGTGGGTCCGTGGTTGAGCAGTGACCCATGAACCAGAGGGTCACCAGTTCTATTTCCGGTTAGAGCACATGCCCGGGTTGTGGGTTCCATCTCCGGTGAGGGGAGTGCGAGAGTCAGCGGTCAATGATTCTCTCTCATCATCAATGTTTCTGCCTCTCTTTCCTTCTCCCTTCCTCTCTGAAACCAATAAAAATATATATTTTTAAAAAAGACTGAACTAAGAAACTGGAACCTGACCTTTAAAAAAAGTCCCAGCCTCCTTATTTCACAGAATGAAGCACAAAGAAGTATGTTTCAGGCCACAGAACTAGACAATATTAAGGCAGAGCCTCGTGTGGTCGACTTCCAGCAAGTAGTCCTCTAGGTTTCAGGCTCACCCTTAAACAAAATCTGTCACTGAACAGTGTCTTTTTTTAAAAAAAAAAGCTCTTTTAATCTCAGAGGACTAGAGTTTACTGGTGGGAGGATGAAGAGAAAGGGCAGGAGAAAAGGAGGTAATTGGTGTGAGAGGGTAGCCTGTCATCACTGGCAGAAATCGCATCTGCTGACCTCTTGTCAAAATGACAACACTCTTTTGCAATGAGATGGTTCCTCTTTCTCGGCTTCCAGATTCGATCTCTGGGGGCTAGTGTATCTCTAGCAATGGAAACCTCGAAAAATTGCAAGTCTGTAACCTTGATTGCAATCTATTTCATAGTCTCAGATGTTTAGAGTACCCCCGGTGGCCAAATATATTCAGAGGTGTAAGAGTCACCTTTCGTAATTGTTACTAGCTAACTTTAAATAGGATTGTTTTAGAACCTCCAGTAGAACATTTTAGCTTTTGTCAATGTACCAAGCGGTAGTAAGAAATAGAGGAAATACTGAAGCAATACAACTTTAAAATATATTTTTTATTGATTTCAGAGAGGAAGGGATTTGGAGAGAGATAGAAACATCAGTGATGAGAGAGAATCATTGATCGGCTGCCTCCTTCCTGCCAGGCCCCTACTGGGGATCCTCTGCCCACAATCCGTGCATGTGCCCTGAGCAGGAATTGAACCATGATCTCCTGGTTCATAGGTCAATACTCAGCCACTGAGCCACACAGGCCAGAGTAACATTTTTAAGTTACATTAATACCCTGTTTTTATATGTCATTGCACTAACAGTAGAGTGTTATTATGCAGAAGTATTTTATTCTCTAAACTAGTGATTTTTCAACCAGTGTGCGAGAAGAACGTTTAAAACAAGCAGTTCCTGAGTATTTAGGCAGGGGCTCTGACCCCTTTTCCCTTAGATTGTCAATTAAAAACGTGACAACAGCCAACACAACAATAGGCGTCCAGTGTGTGTGGAGTGCCACAAAATATTAGTGATTAGTTTGTTTGCCTCGAGATGGAAAAGGTTGAACATTGCTGCTCTAAATGATAACACAAAAATAAGTGAATAATTTCTTAGTGTGATGACACGAACTCTACTGCTTTTCGTAGTTATTGAATAATGGGACTTTTCCATAATGCTAAACCACTAGAAATGCTATTTTTATGACAATGACACATTTTTACTTTTAAATTATTTTTTAAAGAGATATTATTAGAGCTCATCTAATCTGTTTGCATTGATGTACAATATAGGCATTCGTATATTTAAAGGGAAAATTTCAGCATTTTCTGAGGATTATATTAAATCACCACCTCTAATTCTTCGTAAAGTCTCTAGAAATGGTTTGGAAATTTCCACTTTCCTTATAATTAAGGGTCATATATAAAGTAATTTGAAGTTATTAGCCGAGATATATTAAGTCATTATGTTAATTTGTTATGTAAATTCTAAATATATGGTAATAAACAGTTATATAATATTCAGAGGAGCCAAAGCCAGCCACCGAGGGGCTGACGGTTCCTCTTCTGGATAATGCTGTTTGCCCGTAGCTCCATACACGTAGGATTTGAGAAATTGAGGCTGATCTCCACGTGTCCTTTTAAGCACCATCAGTAGGTGGCATGAGGTGTAGGTAAACGTATTGGTTGTTTTTGAAAGGCGGAGAGCCTAAACAGGAAGCACAACAGGAAGGCTGGCAGTTTCTGCTTTTGTCTCCCAGCACCTTTGACAGAGAGGACTGTTTCCGCTTAGTGAGTGCTTGCTACAGAGCGTTCAGACACCAGTGTGCATACCCGCGTCGTGTTCCCCTTCACAGGAGGGGGTGGCCCTCCGCAGACTGCCTGCCACGCAGCTGCCCTCTGCAGACAGCGAGGACACGGTCAGCGTGTTTCACACAGAATCCTGATCTCGCCGATACCTTCTTTGAGATCTGCAACGCGACAGGTTGCGTAATCCCAGCCTGTTTCACAGCTGTCCGGAGTGTTCTCTGATTTCTTAAAAAGATGCAGTTGTTTGTCTAATGCTTTTTATAAAATGAGGCATTTGTTTCTATTTTTTTTTGTTGTTGTTGTTAATCCTTCCCTGAGGATATTTTTCCATTGATTTTTAGAGAGAGTGGAAGGGAGAGGGGGAGACACAGAGAGAGAAACATTGATGTGAGAGAGACACATCCATTGGTTTCCTCTCCCACATGCCCCGACCAGGGTGGGGACCTATTCTGCAACCAAGATACGTGCCCTTGACCGAAATCAAACCCAGGACCCTTCAGGCCACCGCTGACGCTGTAACCACTGGCCAGGGCAAGGCATGCTTAGCTTCTAGTGTGAAAACGTTGGCTCAATCCTTGTCAGAGTCCCCAGCCTGCAGCTTCAGCACCATCCACACACACTGCATTTTGGGAAATTAGTTTTGTTTCATTTCCTGTGTCCATCACTTAGGGTAGTTGGCTTACGGGCAGCATTCAAATAGTTAAGCTTGTGTTAAGGAAGCCACTGCCGCACCCTCCCTCTCCCCACCCTCCCTCCCACCCTCCTTTCTCAACCAGTCTCTGGCTTCCTCTGAAGGTTTCTCTAATGGCAGCGTGAAGCTGCTGGGCTGGACCCTGCTGGCATGAGCCCCTCCTTCTGTGAGAGCATCTTTCCTGGCATGGGGGTCAGTCATGTCGGTAAAATGGGGTCGGTTTTATGAAGTACCCCAGATAACAGTGAGGTTCGTAGGATCAAAACATGGGGAGGTAAGAGCCTGGCTTCTCTGAAGCACTGACTTTAATAAACACAGAGACAATGGAGTGTATTGTTCTGTTTTGTTTGATCCTTGGAAGGACGGCTTTGGGTTGTTGTAAGGATGAGGGTATTATTTGTTATATATTCAGACTTGAAAGGCATTGCAAGGTTTGAGGGAGTAAGTTGCCATAGCTTTGTTTTACTCTTGGAGCATGCATAGCTTTCTGGAGCATAAAGTCAGGTGCTTTTCAGATGAACATTGTATATATATATATATATGGAAAAGCCTTCAACAAAATTAAGTTCAAAGAAAGAAATTACTTGATAAACTTAATTTTTGCTAATGACTTTTATTAGAGCTTTATGTACTTTAGCGGTTACTAATTTCCCCTCATAACAGTTTCCTGTTTTGTAAAGTGAAGTACAGTAGTTTCTCTCCCTTCCTCTCTTGTTATTTTTTAGAGTTTAAAGTGTAGCAATTCCGTGCTTAGGTTTTTATTGTGTGTTCTGCTAAAAAGGACTTTGCCTGCACCGTAGACTTAGCAGACAGTCGTCATTTCGGTTCTGAGTAGGAGGCCGGAGGCCTGGGTCCTGCTGATCGTTTGCTGTGTGACCTTTTGTGAGTCAACAGACCTCTCCAGCTCCTGGCAGGGGAATGACGTGAAGGGAGCTGAGCTGTAGGGTCGGCCAGGTCTGCATCGTAATCCCAGCCGGGCATTACTAGTGTGGGGCCTCCAATGCGGCATTCACCGGCTCCAAGCTGGTAACTAGTCCTTAGTGACTCCTTAGGTGGTTGTGAGAAAATGCATGTAAATTGCTTTTGGCGGTGCATGGCACATGGGAGTGCTTCAGAAATGTCGCTGTCCTTGATCTTGATCTTCTCAGTAGTAAAATGGGAAGCACAGTGCCCACCCTGCCTACTTCAGAGTTGCTGAATCAGATGAAATAGCTTGTGAGGAAGGCGTTGATTCAGAAGGTGAGGCATTCCGTAGTTGTCATTATCACGGGCTTTGGGGTGCTCATTTCCCAGGAATTTTTTTAGATTGCAGCAACAGAATTGCATTCCCTGGAAAATGGGTGCCCCACAGGTAGTGATTGTGAGAACCTCGAAGTGCGTTCTTCCTACTCTGCGGCTTGTAGCTCACGGCCCAGTGGGTTTGAAAGGAAACTTCTCAGTTGCTGTTGATGAGCCAGCTGGATGCGCTGACAGTGCTCCTAATAACCTTGACATTGTCCACTTTAAGTTCCTCCTCCCCCCAGTTTGAAAATTGGGCCAGCGTGAGCATCTGTGCACCGTCGCGTTCCAATGAGTAAGAACTGAACGTGTAGATGTGGGTGTGTGATACTTCTGGCTGGAGTGAGGGAGACAGCTCAGAGACGGGCCCTCACTTGGGTTGGGATCGGTGTAGGAAGTCGGAGAGGCACCTCGGTAATGTTTGTGCCCCTCCATCATCGTCCTCTCCCTCAGGCTGCTCCCGAATTCCCGCTGCCCTCTGCTCATTGCTCGCTGCTATGCTTGGGTGTCCTGAAGAGGGTTCTGGGCCACTCTAGACACCACCTTCCCTAGCACTGGAGGCCTCTTTCTGGTGCTGGGCCTTGGGCATGGTGTTTGTCGGTGCAAACAGGCACCGAGTGAGCCAGCAACAGAGCTGCTTAGCCTGACCAGACTTCCTGTGTTTTTTCACAAGTTAATTTTTTAAAAATGGTTGACCTGGCCAGTTTCAGTCAATGGTTAGAGCATGAGCCTGCACACCGAAGGGTCACAGGTTCGGTTCCGGTCAAGGCCCATGCCTGGGTTTCTGGCAGATACCTGGTTGCAGTTTAGCTCCCTGCCCCCAGTCGGGGTGCGTGTGGGAGGTGACCAATCCATGTGTCTCTCTCACAATTGCTGTTCCTCCCTCCCTCCCTCCCATCTATTCTTTCTGAGGAAGCCATGGGGAAATATCCTCAGCTGAGGATTAACAAAATGTAAAAATAAAGTAAAACATCATTGTCTAGGACATGTTGCCTGACTTTCGTTCCAAGCTTCCGCCCACCGCTGCTGGCCACGTGCCATCCTGGTGGCTCAGGGGAAGGGAAGGCCTTCCAGTGTTCAGTGAACCTTTGGTTCTTTTCTTCGGCAGGAAAAGGAGAAAGAGAAAGATAAAATCAAGGAGAAGGAGAAGGATTCTAAAGAGAAGGAGAAGGACAAAAAGCTCCTCAACGGCCACGCGTTCAGTGCCATTCCCGTCGTGGGGCCCATCAGCTGCAGCCAGTGTGCGAAGGCCTTCACCAGCAAGGACGCCTACACTTGTGCAAGTACGAGACGCGCTTCCTCCTGTCCTCGCTCACGGACCTCCTTTCTCGTTTCCTGGCCACCCTTCCCCTATCTCTTCCTCCTCTGTATGGAGAAGTAGCCCTTTGTATATCCTTCTTTAAACACCATGAAGAAGTACGTTCTGGGTGTAGAACATAGAGCCTGTCTGTTTTTTTCCCAGAGAGCTCCAGTTTCAGACTTTCTGTCCTGTTGTCCCCAGGCCCCAGCACAGTCTCACAGGCACCAACTTAGAAGCCACCAGTCGTCCCCGGTCAGGTCAGCATGCTCCCTTTTCTTCTGGTACCCGCTGTGTGCATCAGCAGCCTGCCAGCATCACGGTGTGCAGACGGCCAAGGGAGGCTGCCTCTGTGCGGGGGTGCTCCCTGTGACCTGTCGCCCCTGCTGAAAACCACCTGGAACCCCAGTCTGTTCCCTGAGCATGGTTCCTGCTTTTTTTTTTTTTTTAGTATATTTTTATTGATTTCAGAGAGGAAGGGAGAGGGAGAGAGAGATAGAAACATCAATGATGAGAATCATTGATCAGCTGCGCCCTGCACACCCCCTTCTGGGGATCGAGCCCACAACCCGGGCATGTGCCCTGACCGGGAATCAAACCGTGACCTCCTGGTTCATAGGTCGACGCTCAACCACTGAGCCACGCCGGCCTGGTGGTTCCTGCTTTTGATAAGATGCTGCTCTGAGATGGAGACTGGCTAACTGCTTCTGTCAAGGACCACATAGCAAATATCTTAGACTTGGTGGCAACCCCTACTGCACTGTGTGGTTTAATGCAAAATCAGCCATGGACAGTGCCTAAACCAATGAGCATGCTGGGTTCCAGTCAACTTCATTTATGGACAGTGCAGTTGAATTTTATGTAATTTTCATGTGTCAGGACATATTCATCTTTTTAATTTTTTCAACCATTTAAAAATGTGAAAACCCTTGGTAGCTCACGGACAACGAAAGTAGGTCATGGGGCAGCTCTGACCCACATGCAGGCATTCGCGGACCCTGCTCCAAGGCACTGCGTCTGAAAATGCTGCACAGACGGAAAGTAGTGATGTCGGTAGCACACACCCAGTGAATACAGGAGGCTGCTGTGGTCAGAGGGGCCCACTCTGGAGACCCCGCTGCCCCAAGCCCAGCCTGTCACCCGGAGGCTGGGGCGATGAGCATCATGTCATCCCTGTAAACAGTTCAGACTAAAGAGTGACTAATCCAGGCTCCCAGAAGCGCTTCTCAGGCTGTGACGTCACGACATTCGCTTGTTTGGGGTCATTTGCTTGGAGTGTCCCAAGTGATTTGTTACTAAAAATAGTTGCCTTATTGAAATTGGAACTTTTGTAAAGTTCATTTGAGCAGATTCAAAGTTACTGCGATAATAATTCCCATCTCTTTTTTCCTGGACAGAACAGCTAACACACAGCCCCCAGCTTAGCTTATCTGTGCTACAGAGCTTGTGACTTTTTAAGGCTGGCTGTATCCCTCACATTCTTGTAAAGTTACTTCTGTGGATATATTATTCCCCCAATGTTGTCCGCAGCCCTATTTGTCTTACTGTGCAATTTATTTATTTTTATAGATTTTTTTTTTAGAGAGAGAGGAAGAGAAAGTGAAAGAGAGATAGAAACATTGATGAGAAACATCAGTCGGCTGCTTCCTGCACGCCCTCCCCCCTCCCCTGGGGGATCAAGCCCACAACCTGGACATGTGCCCTGACCAGGAATCAGACTGGTGACCTCTTGGTTCATGGGTCGACGCTCAACCACTGAGCCACACTGGCCGGGCGAGACCAGATTTCTTGATTGGCAGTATGAATTGAAAAGAACCAGACAGCAGAAAGGAACAGTTGGGTAGGGCTGGTGTGCACCTAAGGTTCAAAAATACATTTTAAATTTATACCCCCCC